TTCCTGCAAACGGCTGCTGCCCACTGCTGCCGAACCTAGCTCCTGAAGCTGCAAAGTAGGTTGGAGAAATCGTGCTTTTCATTATGCTTAATAGTTTCACAGTGTCAAGCCAGCAAGGCTGTCTTCTTGCACCTGCTCTTCCTCTCATCCGGAGGTCACTGTCAGTCTTCCCTTTCCCCCTTCCTCCCTTGTGATGGACCCCTTGCACGAACTCCCACAAAGTTTGACAAAGCAGAAAAGAAAAAGAACAAAACAGTTTATAGGATCATGATTTACCTGAAGTGCATCAGCTCTTGTGATCAGCAGCAGTAGTCAATATTTATTCCCTGGAGCTGCCCACAGTCCCCATTTGGGAGTAGGGCACCACTGTGCTGGGCACTGTACAGTCAGAGAGCAGTGGCAGTCCCTGCCCCAGAGAGCTTGCAATCTTGCAGAAATGTCTAGAGGCAGTAACTTGTTTGAGCCTGATTGTCCTCAGGAAGGTACAAATATGTGGTAAATGCCCAACAAGCTTATAGTCAGAACAAGAGCTGCCAGAGCAGGGAGACTAGTGAGGTGCAGGGCAGTGGAAAGCAGGCCAGGATGGTAAAGAAATAGAGGGGTTTAGCACACACTAGCCACATGAGCAATTCTCAGCCAGTGGTCACCCGTGGCATGGCTAGTCTTAGCTGGCGCTGCTTGGCAGGCCATATGGTGAAGAGGAGTAAAAAAAAAAGACAAGATGGAAGATGGTTTCATAGATTTTAACAGGGGCTTCCACTCATGTAAGGGCAAGTCATCACCCCTTCCAGTTCTAGGCTAGGAGTACCATAAGCTAACACACCCCATGTTTTCAGAGGGCACCAGTTTAGCGTTCTTGAAGACCCTGGCATCATGGACCTTGCCCAATCACCTGGTAGTCATGTGGGTGAGCTATGCCCAGTGATCCATGACACCCTGCAACACAATGTACTCTGAGTGACTATGCACTGGGCACAGGATGGGAATGTGGGCACCATCAATGGATGAGACTTTGGTGCAGTTCAGAAACCCCATCCAGGCAAATCTGGCAATAGCACTGAGTAGAAACCTGGGCTCAGATACCCTTAAAGGTCTACGTTTGCCACTCATCTATCCTGAAAAGCCTTCAGGGGGTTGTGCATGACAGGCTGAGAGGCATGCTGGGATGCCTGCTCTCCAGCCCCTTGGCTGTACTATACCTCAGCAATACTGACTACAGCATGGTTTTTAAATGCTCCAGTTGGGAGGGGCTTGAACATTTATCTGGTACTGAAATGCTCCAGTTTAGAAGTGCTTCAGATGACTGGGGGATTTGTAGTGGACTAAGGGAAGGGCAGGATTAAATCGTGGAGAGACAGGACAAGAGATCTGTACAATCTGGATGGATTTTAGGCTGGAACAGAATTCAGTAGTTCTCCAGTCCAGCACTGTCCAACTTATTTAGCCCCACAGGCCAGATTTAGTGGACCAGCAGCTTGTCAGTGTGGCTACTAGAGCCATTGAGTTGGCATGGCTCTGCAACCCAGACTGAAGACCCTACATTCAGCGGTGGCCAAGTGGGTGCAGGGGCGGTGTTCACTCCCTGGGGTCCAGAACGGTGCCAGGGTAGCAGTCCCAGCAGCTATAACAAGCCCCACAGACTGCAATTTAATCCTTCACAGGCTGCATGCCACCTGTGGGTTGCCAGCTGGACAGCCTTGCTCTAGTCCAGCCTCCTTCACAGATGCAGACAGAAGTCTATCCAGCCTCTTCTTGAATACCTCCAATAACATAGATGCCACAGCTTCCCTGGGCAGCTGGTTCCAGCATCCAACTGTTCTGATGGGAATATTGTTTTGTTTTTTTTCTGGGATTTAGTATAAACTGATTTGCTGGGATTTAGTATAAACTGATTTCTCTTGTGTCCTGGCTGCTGTGGCAAGGGAGAACAATTGTTCTCCATCTCCTTTATGGCAGCTTTCAAATACTTCATAACAGCTAAAATGTCCCTTAAGCTGTGGGAAGCAAGGTTTTGTGGTGATTTCTTTTATTGGATCAATATATACTTGAGAGAGATGTTAGACAAGCTTTGGGGCACAGAGCACCCTGCCTCAGTTCTGGGGAAGAAACAAGAAGTCCCCACATTTGTTCAATAAAAGAGATCACCAAAAGCGTTGTTTCTTGCATATTTCCAAAAGCGTTGTTTCTTGCATATCATGGTTACAGCAACAGTCCACCACTTCTTAATCTCCTTTTCTCCAAACTAAACACGCCTTGCTCCCTTATCCTTTCCTCATGTGAGTTGACTTCCAAACCCTTTGGCCTATTCCTCTGATGTTCATCTGATGCAGTGGAAAATGCAGTCAGGGGAGAGCACTGGAGAAGAAACTGTCATAAAAGCAATGAGCAAGAA